GGCTCTCTACTAGACATTAATGAGCTGATTCTAGTAGAGGCCCTATAAGCTCACTAAAAATTAAAACCCAAAATATTTTGACCCCCCCCCCATCCTTTCCCTACATCAGATTCATGTGATGATGAAAGCATATGATATAAAAGGATTTATGAGTCATACAATGCCAAGGACTCTGAGATTTCAAATGATTGTTATGATAATATTTTGCATATTATTTCAAATAAAATTGCATAGTTGCAAGCTATTGTTCCAGATACTAAGGGTGTAATATCCAAAATTTCTAGTAATGAAAAATTCAAAAAATTATTTTTTTTAAGTTTAAATAAGTTTAAACAATAATTTTCAATTATTGTTACTTAACAATTAATTATAGTTAAGATAAGAAAACCAGTTTTATTCAATGTTTAAAATTGCGTATTCGGGTATTGAGGCGTTTTTCATTCGTGAGGCAAGGCGTAAGCCTCAAGGCGTTTTGAGGCGTAAGCCTCAAAATCAAAAGATTGCTTAAACATAAAATGATAAATTTTTTATATACTAATGAGTGAATAATATAAAACATAAAAAATCATAAGATATGAAGTGCAATCAAAATATCTCAATAATAAGACAACATGAAATTTAGTTCAACTCAAAATTCTATCTTTCCCAAATCCCAGTATTCTTTTCATTAACATATAATTCCAATTTTCAAAAATAAATAGTAATGACATATCACATAAGAACTCATAAGTCATCAGCACTGTCATCACTAAGTGGTTCTTCATTTGAATCATCATTATGGTGAACTGCTCTCTCCTCTTCCTCCTCTCCTATAAAGTCCAATGTCAGGCATTTACTTCAAGATTTATGTAAGTTTTAATATATATAGCGTGAGGCGTAAGACCTCATGCCAGTGAAGTTGAGGCGTAAGCCTCATAAAAAAACTCGAGGCGTAAGCATCGAGGCATTTTTTACTGGAATTGTGCAAAGGTGGGCCTCAAAGCGAACCTCATATTGCGCAATTTTAAACCATGGTTTTATTAATAATAGATAATAAGTGATTTATGCACAAGAGAGGTTACGAGGAAAATGATGTTAGTATAAATTGATTTGATGCAAATTTATTTGAATGATAAATTATAGAGATTTAGAAGTGATTTGTGTAGGTTACTTACACAAGGAAAAGAGTATGAGGTGGAAAATTTGATGAGACAAAACTGCAAAGAGGTAAGCAATGCAAATTTGAATTAACGAGTATATGTTATCATTATAGACATGTACACTTACTTTGAACCATAATTTAAAAAGAAAGCCATTAAAGTAGGTGATTTTATATTATACATGTTAACAGTCAAGTATTCATGAATGAGCGACTACACCTATGTTTGAGGAATTGGAATTTAATAGAAGATAATGATATAATTATTTGAACATTTTTCTAGTTGCTAACATTTTGAAAAGTACAATTCTTATAGATTGCATACACAATCTCTTTATGGAAATAGTATAACAGCTATGTTGTGATAAAAATATGCAACCAAACAATACAAGTATGAACTACGAATACGTGAAGTTTATTGAATATTAAATTAGTAAAGATTGGCTATAAAAATGATATGAAACTTATAATTACATGTGGGGCAAAAGGGTCTCTAGATATGATACCTGCATAGTAAGCGGGGGTAAAAGGGAGACCTCTAAAGAGGCAAAAGAGGCCTCTATATAGTTCAATGACAATAATGTCAAACTTATATAGGCTCCATTGAACATTTTTTATGAAAATTTAGTCAAATCTTTATAAACTAATATTAATATTCTGTATATACTTCAAATGAATGAAATGATGATTTTTAAAAAATGCTATGTTTATTTGCAAATATTTCCAAATTAATTCAATTATGTTATTATTTATAATCTTGCATTTAATTTTTATGAAAATTGCATAACCTATTGAGCCTCATAGCTCATCATTTCTTTTCATACTAACTGTTGTTACAGGAAAAAGAAAAAAAATGTTGAAGCAGAATATGTTCAAATTATTTTATTTTATATTTTATTATTTTAGATTTTTTTGTGGTCTACAACTAAGATATGTAAACGATTCAGTGATGCACTATTTTAGAATTTATTAATTGCTTTGTAAATATTTGTTTGATATAATTGGAGTTATTAGATGATGCTATTTATGTAGTATATATAAATGTTAGTTGATATTTTATACAAATATTCAGATAATGAAAAGTATCATATGTTAAGATTGAAAATATTATATTTATTTCTGTGAAATTTTGTAATAATACTGGTAAGAGATATAGTGGGGTGTTACAAAGGGTGAAATCCATCATTTTCAACTTCATAAACCATCTTCTTTCACACATTTAGAGCAACTTGCACTGATATTGGTGTAGCTTATAGCACAAAATAAAGTACTTGAGAAAGAATTTATGGTGAGAAATCAAGAAATTTTTAACCTCTAAAGAAAATCACGAAATAATGAAAAAAAAATAAGTAGTTACATAAGGATATTAATACTGGCAAACAGCAGAAGGAAATGCTAAATGTAGGATTGGAGGCAGATTATCAAATTTACATGAAGTTTGTCTTATATCTTAGAGTGAAATCTCAAAATTGCTCAAGAAAAATGAATCGTTGTTAAAGAAATTGTATGATTTAAGTGAGCAAAATGAAGCATGCGTAGAGGAAAATGATGATATCCTTAAAGAAGCTATTGCTCAGGAACTCCTCTCATTAATTTTTACGAGTTGTGATGCTGAAAAATCTTTTGATATGCAGTGATTAATTAGTAATGTGAGCTATCTTTATAGGATCACAAATGATCTAGGTCAGGAGAAAAGAGTGATTAATGAAAGCATAAGAACTCTTGAAGCTGAAAGCATGCATCTTAAGCAGAGTCGAACCCGCATAATGATTTATGAAAATAAAATCCAACAAGCAAGAAATTCCTTAAAAAAACTCAATAGACAATAGAGACGGACGGGAAACTTTTAGAGCAAAGATACATGGAGTTGTCGAGTTCAAGAAAGTTTCAAGGCATCCAAAACTTAGAATTGTCTATAGCTCCTGATGGTTGTATACATGTGATCAATAGGACCAAGTTGATTAGAAATGGCTTAGAGAAGAAATGGTTTTAATCATTAGAAAAATGAAATTTCTGCAAAAATTATAAATTTTTGTGCTTTCGGAAACCCAATCAAATCTTGGAAGATGATTTTATAAAAGCACATAGAACCCGGGAAACCAACTTGGCATCTGAACTCCATGTATCAATCGACGAATACATATCTAACAAAGCAGAAGCTGCAAATTTCCTACATCACCTTCATGTTTCATCATTCATGGAATTGATATTTAAGGAAAAGTTCTTTGAGTTGATGCAAATACTTAAGGGCCTTGTGACAACTGAAATTGTGCAAATTAAGTTTCTAGTTAAAGAAATTGCTTGTGAAATGTTCAAGAAGAAGATTTAAAAGAAAATTTTGAAGCGCTTGGAAAAGAAAATAAGGGGTTGAAGGCAAAATTGAATGCTTATGCTCCCCTTTTTGTTTCTTTGGAAAATGAGATTGCTTCTCTAGAGGAACGCACCCTTTCATTGATAAATCTTTACATTTTGAACTGTAGGAGAAAATAGCCTAAAATTTTCAGTCAAGTATGAGGCAAGCATCACAGCTCAAGAAGTCTAAGAGCATCAGCTAAAATCTTGGAGCTAAAAAAATTGCGTACAAAGGATAAGGTGCTTCAGAAAGTAGTAGCATATATTGAAGGACTTCTAGAGCAAGGGGAAGTTGTTTCTGGTACCAATGTGGATGATGAAAAAAGAAAAGTCAAAGCATGGAAGTCAAATAGTATAACACGTCACAATACCTCTTACTAGTAATATAGTGTCACATAAATCACATAACATTCATTCTTTACTTTTAATTATTTCTCATCATTTGCATGATCACATAAAACATTCACTAATAATTACATTTGAATAATAATAACAGAAGCACATAAATGATCCAACTTTCATCACAAAATATTTACAAAGCCACTAATAAAATTCAAAATAGTACATCATTAAACCGTCTACATACCTCAGCTGTAGACCCACAATTCAAGCTAAATAATAGAATATAAAAGGAAATAACTTGAACATATTTTACTTCGACATTTTCCTTTCCTTTTCCTGTAACAACAACTAATATGAAAAGAACTGATGAACTATGAGGATCAATAAGTTATGCAATTTACATAAAAATAAAATGTCATATTATAAAGAATAACCTAATTCAATTAACTTAGAAATATTTGCAAAATAACTTAAATTATCGTTTAAAAATCATCCTTTCATTCACTTGAAGTCTATACAGAATATTAATATTAGTCTTTAAATATTTGACTAAACTTTCATAAAAATATTCAATTGAGCACAGGTAAACCTGACATTATCGTCATTAAACTACATAGAGATCTATTTTGCCTCTTTAAAAGTCCCTTTTGCCCCACCTGCTATGCAGGTATCATATCTGGGGCACTTTTTACCCCACCAACAATTGTAGGTATCAAACCTAGGGACCCCCTTTTACCCCACCTGCAATTGTAAAATTCATATCATTTTATAGTCAATCTTTACTAATTTGACATTCAATAAAGTTCATATATTTATAATTCATACTTGTACTGTATGATTGTAAGAAGTTGAACCAAGTTAAAAATTTATCATGCTAAAAATGTATGATGTTCAAGACCTTTCTTAACAGTTGTTATTCCTCTATTTGCATTCAAGAAGTCTTCAATTGTGAATACATCTTCAATTACAAAAATAATAAGCAAAATAACATTATACTATAATTTTATTTAATATTATACTACGAGTAACGGTATAAAAATCAGAATATAACTTCTTCCTGTTGTAAGAAGTTGAAACAAGTTAAAAAATTTATCAAAAGCAAAAAAAATGAGAGAAGAATGTTCCAAAAATAAAATTGTGGTAGATAAGTTGGATAGTATTGTCGTACTGAGAAGAGTATGTTTGTTTTATCTTGATAGACAGCATTTGTAGCTGAAGAAGATTCAAGGTCCTTTGCCACCGAACAGCTCTCACCTATTACCATGTTGAAAAAGTTAAGAATATAGCTAGCCAATAAGGACAACAGAATAAAAAGGAAACACAAAAATGAATACAGGAGAATTAAGCAATAGCCTGAAGAAAACAATTGTAAGAAAAAGTGTCAATTTTTTTTAAAAGCGCCACCAACTTATAAACTAATGAAATGGCAGTACTCCGAAAGTTAAAATTAGAAAAGTTACAAGATGACAACAAAGCCGCTTAATATCAAAAGGGGCATCTTGAAGTAAACCCTGAAACACAAAAAGGTATAATTTGACCAAATTTAATAGTAACTTCGAAAAGCCTAATCCAGCAAGGCCACAAGGCATAAAGCCAGCATACATATAACTACCGACATGGTTGCATCAATCATGTATTCAAAAGGGAAAGCCGATTGCAATAGGTTGCTATTTCAACTTGGCAAAAGGTGCTCAAGCATTAAAAACGGCAAAAAAATATAATACAAGTTACCAAATGAACAAAATACTCTCCAAACACAACAGTTGCAAAATTGAAAGTTAACGGTGAACATTGATTTATGAGTTTAGTCAACAAAAGCCCAAAGCATAGCATATTCCATGAAGATGTCAGGAATTCCAAACAACATATGTAATCTACCATTCAACTAGCCCACATATTCAAAGCACCAAAAGAATAAGAGAACCCTTCATTACTCATTCAAAGAAAGTGAAGATGAACGAACACACAAGATGACAAAAATTAAATATATAGGATCATGGGAGAAAATTTCATACCAGTAAGAATTGCCTGATCAACACGCAACTGATTACTAAGTATTTCAATCAATCTCATATCAGCAGGTACCTTGCAGCCCACTATCAAATATCAAAGAGCTTTAGACACCAACTAAAGTACAATAAGAGAACAGCTTACAAATCTGCTTGCATAAATTAAGGGGAAAAACTAATCTACCTCCAACTTCAACAATATCTCCAGGTACAAGTTCTGTTGCGGATAAAATTGAAAAACAGCCTGCAGAACAAGTTAAGGTCAATTTCTACTAGTATTGTAAACCAGCAATCAATAATTAATTTTTTTCTACTTATTAATAGAATTCATGGTTAAAGTGGAGAAATGCATCGGGTTTGTTATGTGATAGAAAAATACCTCTCAAACTTAAGGGAAAATTCTATTAGATGGTAGTGAGACCTGGAATGCTTTATGGTGCAGAATGTTGGTCATTAAAAGAGAAGCATAATATTAAGTTAAGTGTTGCAGAGATGAAGATGCTCAGGTGGATGAGTGGTTGCACTCTTAAAGAAAGGAAACAAAATGAGCATATATGTGAAAAGGTTGGAGTAGCTCTAGTAGAAGATGAGATTAGATGGATTGGTCACATAAAACAACGGCCTTCCGATGACCCGATTAGGAAAGTAGATGTATTAGATTTGACTTATATTAAGAAAGGTAACAATAGACCTAAAAAGACTTGGTTTAAAAATATTAGAAAAGACATTTCTTTATAAGATTTAAATGAGAAATTTGACCCTTAACATGACACAATGGAGAAAAAGGATTCATGTAGCCAACCCCACATAGTGGGATAAAAGCTTATTGTTGTTGTTGTTGTTGTACTAATGTTGAGTAGATCTAAAACCATCAATTTCTACATTTTTTTCAAGTAAATCTAAAACTGAATACATGGAGTGTAATTTTAGTAGTAACAGATCTAATGGAGGCATTATGACTTTGGGCAATCAAATCATTAAAAATAGTACGTGTTTTAGATATTTCTGGTCTATTGTTCAAAGTGATGGTGAAATAAATGGGGATATTAGTAGTAGAATTCAAGTTGCATGGTTGAAGTGGATGAATGCATCGAGCCTATTGTGTGATAGAAAAGTACCCCTAAAACTTAAAAGGAAAATTCTATAGGATGGTGCTGAAACTTGAAATGCTTTATGTCGCAAAATGTTTGTTGCTAAAAGAGAAACATAAAATTAAGTTAAATGTTGCAGAGATGAGGATGTTCAAGTGGATGAGTGGCTTTACTCTTAGAGAAAAAATGCAAAACAAGTATAAACGTGAAAATGTTGGAGTAGCTCTAGTGGCAAATAAGATTAGAAAGAGTCGCCATAGATGATTTGGTCATATAAAATGTCGGTCTTCTGATGACCTGGTTAGGAGAGTAGATGAATTAGAATTGACATATGTTAAAAAAGGTGGAGGTAGAGCTAAAAGGACTTGGTTAGAAAGTATAAAAAATGACTTTTTTTCTTAGATTTGAACGAGAATTTGATTCTTAATAGTACACAATGGAGAAAAAAAAATCATGTTGCTAACCCCACGTAGTGGGATACAAGCTTGATGTTGTTGTTGTTGTGGTTATTAATAAGTGTGAATGACAGCAACCTTCTATTTTGAAGTGTTTTGAACCCATGAAAACAATACAATAACCAAACTGTAGAATATGGTCACTTATAAAGTTCTTACTAATAATACAGGGTTTGAAGAAGAGTTGGTATACTCAGCCTTCTTCCCTCCCACACTTGCAGAAATACTGTTTTCGAGCCTTAAATTTGGAACCTTCATAAAACGACAAAGGCAACTTAATCGTTGCACCTGACCCACCCTCTAATTATCACCAATAATTCAACAAGGAACCAAGACTAAAAACAATATTATGAAATCACAAAATGGAAAAGCAAGAGCTACGTAATGTAAACAAATGCAAAGAACTCATTGAACATTGAGATCAAATTTGTGAGCTATTTGGTAGGTTCATAACAGAACATTATCCATGTTGATTTTCATTTCTTAAAAAACTATTTTTCACATCCTAGAATGAAATATTTTCATAAAATAACTCAAATTCAGTAATCTAAAAATATAATAAGATGTCCATTACATGATATATAAAAAGATACTTAACTTCATGTCTATCACAAGATTGCTAGTGTGATTGCTGGAAAGTTCAGAAATGCAAAAAGGAAATGTTAAGTAGTAAATGCGTGTGAGAAATTTGAAGGATCATATATTATCACCACAGATACAACATCAAGAAGGTGATGAACAAGCAATTACCATTTCGTAACACTGTTGCAACATCAGCTTGATAAGCTCTCAACTCCTACAGAGAAGACAACAAAATTTACCTCATGGATGTTAAAGTAAATGAGATTTTAAATAAGCTTTATTCGGCTCATAGATGTTAACTAAAGTAAATGAAATTTCAAAAGAGCTTTATTCAGCTGTATGAAGTTAGAATGTTAGAACAAAATTTGGAAGTTCCCCAAAACAATAGTATAAAGGCAAATTCAAAAGAAACATAGATTGTAGGAAATACTAACACCAAACAATTATAATGTTGAGAACCACAATATTCTTATAATATAGCCAACTAGTAGTATTTAGAACTGCTTAAATATTTTATTATTTTTTAAGATTAGTTTTATCATTTTCAATAACATCTATCATTATAAATGTTTAAGATAATGTAATGTCATATGGTGACAAATAAATTATTTTTTAGTTATAATTCTACGAGATTCCATTCTCTTATGGCTGTTTAAGGATTCGCTTCTCCATCATGCTCTGACCATTCAGCACCTTGCATTGAGGTTTGACAGCTTAATGTTTGCATGAATCAACATCAACAGCTAGAGGATTCTTGATGCTTCCTTATTTTTCCTTACATTTTCTCTCATCTCCTTAATCCCTATCTTTCTACAATCCCTCTATGAACCCGGCATCACTTTGAGTATCATAATGAATCTCTTTGATTCTATGAAGGATTTGATGCATTTAATGTTGTTCTTGCGTTGTTCTACTACTACGTTATGATGTTTTCTGCAATTTTGAGCAATGCCACTTTCCATCAACCAATCGGAGCTGAAGCCATACCTTTGGCACTTTTTATTGTATGTCGTAGGTGTTTAAGATGAATAGAACCGTACCAGGCACTGTTTACTAAACGCCCCTCAATCCATTTTTTTTTACATAAAAAATCCGAATACCCTTCTACAACTTCCTCCAAATAAATCTCAGCCAATCCTTTAAAATATCAATCCTTTTCTTTCATTTAGAATTGAAATTTCAATAAAATTTCAGGTTTGAAATACATAAATACTTCAATTTCAGTTTCAAATTTTGAATTTTTAATTTGACTTCAAAACAACCTTATCCATTGATAAAAATTCTCGACAAATCCATTCAGATATAAAATTCAACTTAAATTTAAATTTAATTCAAACCTTTAAAGATGGACTCCATAATTTCCGACAAATAGTATTGTAAATAATTCTTCCTTAATAAAAACACGTTTGTCTTAAATACTTCATTGCAGTTTTCTGGTCATGGTTCATAAATATGTCAAGCATGTACCCTACCCAAGTCTACAGGAAATTGACAAGCAAGTAGCCATATTGTAATCTCAAAGTAGCTAGAACATACATAAGCAGAAGAAAATAAATGACATTTATAATTGAAAAAAAAACTAGCAATACAGCGTAGCCCACCGATTTGCTCACTAGTGCAATAACATTTCTTCCATACTCAATTCTTTATCAAAGCAATTTGAAAGTTCTCCTAGGAAAACAACTGCAAACCAGATATCTGAGATAATGGAAAAAGGCAGTGGGAAAAATAACTAGCCCCACGTCAAGTGTCCTACACATTGATAGTAAAAGTGGTCAGAAAGGTTTACTAGACAATCACACTAACACTAGAATTTGAATCGTGGTGCTGTCAATATTGCCTTTTTACATGTGTGCAATACCAAAGCATCTAAATGATGATAAGCAGAGAAGCATTATTAGCATGCTCGATCAAATGGGTAATTTTCTTACCAATATGGATCACATACTACCCCTAAAAAATTCAAACTTCATCTCTCCAATTGCTACAAAAATACTTATTAGTCGACCTACACCAACTGGAACCGCATAACTTAAACATGCTTTCTTTGATAAAAATGTGCGTGATCACAACAAGATTTTTCCTAGAAAGCAATTCAATGGCTCCATGCAGACCAAGTCTTCATCAATAAACTCTCAAGAATCTGAAAAAATAAAAGTTTATTATACTTAAATGAGAAAATAACATAAATGGTCTCCCAACAATTTTGTGAATGACCAAAATGATCTCAGACTACATAAAAGTTTTAATTTAGTCCCTAGATTCTTTAAAGTTTAAACTAAAAGTTCAAGAAAGTTGTGAGACCTCGAAGAACCAGCCCGAGGCTAACCAAGATGGGGTGAATTGGTTATTTTAAAATTTTCTTTAACAAAACTAAAATCTTTTTATAATTTTTTTCAATATCTGAAAAGAAACACCTTAATCCCTTAATGCGGAAGCAGATTTTTCACAATAACAGAAAATCAGAATTTGTCAACCACACAGTAAATCACAGAAAAATAAGTGCGCAATAATAAGAACAAAACACACAAAAATTTATAGTGGCTCTGTCCAACCTGACTTATGTCCACTCTCTAGAAACCTCCTTTTCAGGTATTGCACTAAAACTAGTGTTTCTCCTTTTGCCCCCACAACAAGATGGAAAAGCCCTTACAAAATCTCTTCCACCAACCCGGTGCAGCAGAGGACCTTATTTTTTTTCACCCTCCTAGTGAAAGAGATAATCTTGAATCATTTCTTTCCCTCCTGGAGATGGCAAGAATCAAGAATCATTTTTTCCCCTCCTAGAGAAGGCAGAGAACCTGTGACTAGTATTGTGGAAGTCTTCCTGGAGCCACCAAAGGATCAAGGCAAAAGTTTGAAGAAGACACGAAAGAATCTGGCTTGGGAGAAACCATGAGAATCCCTCACAACTCTCTCTCACAAACAACTCTCCCTCTCTTCTCTCTCAAAGCACTCCTTAACTCTTCCTCTATGCTCCCTCTCAAGACACTTAGCAGCAAAAGTCTTTTAAAATAAAACTACGTGAAAGCTTAAATAGAGAGCCTCTCAAAAAAGCACTAAATTTCAATATGCCGACTCTAATCGTCCAGTACGATCTAAGATCGTCCTGTACGATTAGTTCAAAGTACTATACGAGGAGACAGACCCTGTACGATCAGCTCAAATAGATGAATTGATCGTTCAAGACGGTTGAGAACGTCGTCCAGTACGATTAGAAAAAAAACTGCCTTTTTAGACAGTATGAAATGTATTTCCCTATACGATTAGTTCAAGAGATGTACTGATCGTCCAGTACGATAGGCGACGATATAATTATCGTCCCATGCAGAGCTCGGTTCATACAGTACGAAATTGGGGGTTCGTTTTGTACGACTAGTTGAAAAACTATGGCATTTCATCTTAGACGATAGGCGATGATTTAATTATTGTCCCATGCATCGCTTGGGTCGTACAGTGCGATCATCACCAATCGTACTATACGATTGATTGAACAAATTAACCATAATTGTTCCCCTAATCACATGATCAATTTAGATATGATTGTCATATATTGCATAGTACGATGCATATCGTACGGTACAATTATACACTTATTTTGAATATTAAAATATTACATAAATTGTGATTGGTGGCAGTTATGCCGATTATAACTGATCGTCCTGTATGATAAGGATCGTAAAGTACGATGAGTTTAATTAATCTTACTTAAAACAGATGCCCTAATTAGGGTTTTTTTAACTAATTGTCCAGTATGATATAAATCGCCTTGATTGATTAGTTCAGAAAATTTAACTTTTTCTTAACTCACTAACTCACCCCCTTGAGTATGTGTGTGTAAGATTACTTAGATTTATGTGTGTGTAAGGCTACATATTTGACTCAAGAAAGATAAAAAGTACAAAAAGACTAAATAATACAGACTTTTATTCCTAGTTTACCCGTCTTGAGCTGATCGAGGTTGCAAGTGAACTGTGATCCTGAAAAGTTAGTGAGCAGGGAAGAACATATATGAAATAGATTCAAATAGCATAATGAAAAATCCAATAATATTTGCTATCATTAAAATTACATGACTTTGGTCCAGATTTGCAACATAAACAAATAACAAAATGGTCCAACAATCCAAATTAATGGAAATTAAAGTTAAGGGTATTAAAATTGGGAGTATTTTACAATATATTTTTCTTCTTGAATCTTTTAGGTACAACGCTGAATCTTGTTGAGATCATGTAGGGTGTCAAGCCAGGTTATTTTCTATAATAAATTTTCTTAACATTTTAACTATTATAATTCCATTGTAATTAAATAGATTGAGGTCATATTTTATGTTCTGAGATGCTAAAACTTTAAATTTGTATATTAACTTTATTGAAATCTTTTCAAAGAGAACAAAATATAGATTCCGATGCTTAATTTAAAATTGTTCATAGCTAACTTTGCAGCACTTTTATTGATTAAAATCATTTTGTTGAAAAAAAAAATATTTTTGATTGAAATTATTTTCTTAGATAGAATAAAATATATATTTTAAATATTTAATTTATATTATAATTATAATAAAATATCATTACTACATATTGTATAAACAAAATCAAAATAAACATTATAGATTTCAAATCAATACAATTAATATAAACATAAAAAAAGAACCTTAAAAATCTATCAATTACTGTGGCTACCGAAGCTTTGCCCACTTCGCTGCATCCCTGCTGTGGGGAATCTTTGTCCAGTTACTTTCATCTCTTTCGCTCAGGGACACCATCAAGGGCAGGGAAGCTAAGTGATAGTCTCATGTATGTGACGCCCTAGAAAGAAAGCTTTGTTGTTTCTCTCCCTCCCAACCCTTTGTTGTAGTCACGTTCTTTGCCAGCTCAAGGGAAACTACGCCCAATCCTTATCTCATGCTCGCCTATTCATTTTGGTTAAGGTACCCTCGGACTTATGCATGACAACAACAAAAAGGTTCGCAAAATGCCCTAAGAGTTATGCAAGCACCATGAAATCATAAATCTAATAAGTTTTCCGTTAATTTCAACCTCCATTTTGGACAACATAACTATGTTGGTCCCCGTTAAAAGAGACTTGAGATTAAATTCACCCTTCTATGTAGTAAAGAACCATTTTGGAGCTTTACAAATTATCGGGAGATCATTTTGGCACTTTTTTCATACTAGGGTATTCATGTATAAATAATATCAACAAAGTAGACAAGTATTCATGTTGGTCTAAAACAATTTTTTTATGGAGGATACTAGCATTTGTTCTATTTTCCTCGATATTATAAGAATTTTAGAAATAATATCACTTTTTTTATTCTTATATGCATTTATAATGTGATATAAATAATGTAATGAAACATTGATATTAAGAAAAAGATGATAAAAAAGTAAGAACAAAAAAAGAAGCTATACACCCATAGAAAGGTAAACCTTATAACCTATAGAAGTAAGCTTCATATGCAGGTCAACAACACCCCTAACTATCAACATTTCCAATACCATATCAATGATTACAGAACTTTTCTATACATGCATGGATCTATATATATATATATATATATAATTTGTCTCTCTCTCTCTCTCTCTCTCTCTCTCTCTCTCTCTCTCTCTCTCTTTTATATATATATATATATATATATATATGTGTGTGTGTGTGTGTGTTGAATAACAAACAATAGTATCAAACATAAGAAATCAACAATTATTTATGATCATCTTGGCAAACACAGAAGTCACAAATACATTCATTTAGCATGTAACATAATAGAATGACTTAAGATGTGACTACTATGCGAATAAAAAAAACCCATCATGTCAAAGAAATATCTAGACAAGTTTTAAACTTTTTAATAAACAAATAAAGGCGCAAGTAAAGAACACACATAAACAGATCTTTTAAAAAAGCAAATATGTATTTATAAGCATCTGTCATGTCATAAATATGTATCTGAACACTAGTGAAAATATAAATACAAAACAAAATCTGATATTTTTTATCATATTGTCAAGCCTAAAACTAAAAAATACATCAAGTAATAACAATATTAGGAAACAGTCAGAGAGAGAAAAATAAGTGCGCCTTTTTAAGTAAGATTGATTTTAGATAGTGTACATAATATTTTCCAGTATCTTTTCCACCTGTCAAATAGGCGTATGAAACATGCTGGAATCTTTTTAAGTAAAATAACAAATAGTGAATGCAAAGTGGCGTATAACTAACATGGTCTCTTCAAATCCTATTGTCAGGGGTCTCATGCGGCAAGTGTTTCTCTACAGGAAACCTCGATTCATAGTCTAGGCTTGGATGAAAGGTAATGCCAATAAACCATAATAAGTACAAGAAAAAAAAAGGAATGGGAGGCCTATGAAAGAAGTTTTACCTCAATAGCTTTTTCAGCATTTGTCTCTGTTATAACACCTACCGCTGCATTTGCTGCTAAAATCAAAAAGATAACCTAAACCAAAAAGATGGATGAGAGGAAGCAAAAGATCTAGCTTTAAGCATCTAAGGAAGACAATTACAAATGGGAACAATTTTTTTTTTAAATTGCAAGATAAAAAAAACTTGACAGTAATTATGCTTCCATGCACAACAACATGACGAATGATTTGAACAGTGAACAGAGGAAAAAAGAAAAATTATGATCCAGATTAACTGTAAGATTGCTTCCACGAATCAAGATTACAATAATCAGGCAACAAAAAAAGATCAAAAGGCATAATCATCAGATAGAAAGGATACCAAAAAATAATCAAACAGCCAGTAATCCAGACACAGGAATCTGTTTAAGACCCAAAAAGGCTTGTTAACCTTCATAAAACTCTCATGTATAGCAGCAATTAATGTAGAGTATCAAGCCCCAAAACCCAAAGGACCCATGTTCACAAAATCAACTGCGCCTAACTTAATTTTTGGGTCTATAATGCTTCCGATATCCAAATAACAAAGAGATTAATACATATTCCAAACATTAGCAACATTAAAGCAACTGAAATTTTACATCAACTCCGTTTTCAACAATACCAGTTGATATAATACTACAAATGTTATGTGCTTTAATATCATGCTCTTGTTCATGGTTCTCTTGAGTCAGCTAAAGCACTTATGACTAAAATGTGAAAAAGTCAACAGTGGTAATTAGCAAGCCTCGCATCTCGGTAGGAGACTTCCATATTTATGATAATCAAATTAATAATCCTTCCGAAAATAACTGAGAAACATGGAAACACTGAACAAATTTTGTATGCAATCATGATGTCAATGACATTAGGAAACACATTCTAGGGAATTGCAGGCATTCATGTACAATAAGCTCCATCGGGTGTCTATTTAAACACACAATATAATCTAATCGAGTCTAATTGAAAACTAGCAACATTAGGTCATACAGAGCTAAGTTTCAAATTACTTGATTTCTCAACTTCCACATCAAATTCCTAGAATCCTCTCTTCTATGAAGGTACCATATCTCTATCTAATGTGTTTGTAGAATATCAGAAATAATCTTGATGATTTTTTACACAAAGCCTCATTAAGGAACCACATAAAACATTTATGGGACAACGTTGAACTTCAAGAGAATCTGATCAAATGAATATATGCTCAAATAATCAACAAGTGCAGGAATATGGTTAGGCAGAAATAATTGGTGGCCCAATGATTGAAGGAGAAAGTTGTTTCTCCAAGATCACATATTCGAGCTACATGTTTTGGGATTTATCAATCACCATTTTCAAAAAAAAAAAAAAAAAAGAATGCGGCTAAATATGCTCCCCACAACTAATTACTGAACAATCACGAAAGTCAAATAAATGAAAAAATAACTTGATATTTAAAAGGATGGAATCACTTACCAAAAAACATTCAATTGGAGCTTGTTTTGACTAGAAAAAATATTTGGTAAACTAACTATTTGTCATGTTTTTTTAAGTAATTTTCAAGCACTTTCTCTCTTTATCCCTTCTTTTTCCACCTTAACCATCAATCAAAAAGTGGTCAATTTGAGCTCAAATGAGGAAATGGTTAATTAAGTTTTTCAAATTTCTTCATATCTTTGTATGCTTTCTCCAGAACTTTTTGGCAGCTTTCCCTCTCTCCTCTTCTTCTTCTTCCTCCATCTAAACCTATCGTATCTAAAGGCCGTTTCCCTCTTCTTTTCTTGATCTAATAGCAGTCATTTCACATTCCAATAGGTAGGAAATACTCTTTTATTTCACCTCTCCTAACTCTAGGTCTCAGACTCCCAAGATAGGTTCGACCATATATCCTGCAGGTTTGAACCCTAAAGAAATTTTTCACTATTTATAAGCTCAAAGGATGAGATAGAAAGGATGATATAATGTTCGCATTCAGTGATGGAGGTATTGACTTCCTAGAGCTTCAAGCTCTAAGGCAGTTTTCAACCTCTCTATACCTTAAAAGGGAATGAGATTGACTAAACTCAACTGTTACCCTGTGTAGTGGTCAATAGCCACTGAATGCCAAGGTCTTTATCCCTTCACCTTCATTTGGGAAAACGGAAGCATGGGGCATCAAATAAGGTTGGTTGCTCAAGCAAATGGATCGAGCAACCCCTTGGCTTGGCCCAGGAAAAAAGAAAATTGCACTTAGCAATTGAACCGTTCCCCATTTGCAACAATTTATTTCAATTCAAAATATAACTCGAAAGCCTCTAAGATCTAAATTGTTGCAGAGTAGGACACCACCTATTCTTAAAAATCCAGAACTACTAATCTTACGGTAGAATGCTTCTTACACCAATACTTGGATTCAAACAAAAAAAATAGGCATCATATCAAATATTACCAACTTGTTTAATTATTGCTAAGTAGTTTTTGGATATCAAACACCCCCTCCTATATGATAATATTAATGTGCTCGATTCACCCTATTTGTTAATCAATCATAGAAATACGCATGTCCTAAGTACAGGAATTTAAATTTTTCAAAGAATTTAAACTTTTCCAAGAATTGTTTTTAAGTTTACAATTATGAAATAATTTGATTATTTGAAACCATTTATATTTTTAACACTTCAATATCATCAATCTATAAAAATTAAATACAAAATATATTTGACATAAGAGAAAATTTTTCATAAAAATAAATGTAAAATTACTATATTCATATAGAAATTAGCAACTCATAGAATATAATATTAAATATGCTTGAAAAGCAATTAGATTAGGAGATTTAGATGTTAAAATGAGAGAGAATAGAAACTTTAAACATAATATCAAAGTATTAAAAGATTGGAAAATAATCTAATATTTTTTTAATAAAATTATTCATATATACATTGTAAATGCATTTATTAAAATGAAAAATATACTTAAATAATTTCTAAATTAATATCTTATTTGGGCATATTGCACAATGAATCTTATTTGATGGCAATATGTGCTCTACGGAGGCGGATTTTTCTACAACAATTTCCTAATCTAAAGCTAGCATGTAGAACAATCTCTCATATCCAACAAAGTGTTTCATGATTTAATTATAATCACCAGTATTTTATTCCTACATCGGTATAATGATGAAAATTTAGCTTCAGATTATTTTTATATGATTTTAATTAAGTTAATTTAAGAAAAACACAACTAAGTGAATTCCGTTTTTTTGTTGCTATTAAAGCATTTCCGTCACTGAAATTATAATTAAATTATCTCAATTTGATTATTTGTAAGTAAAATGACTAACACAAGAATTGTAATATCTAATTCAACAGAAGCTTTGATGATGCCTGGATATTCCAATTTATTAACCTTATACTGCATATAATATTTTGAATAAGAATATCAATACAGAATAAAAATAATAATAATAATAATTAAAAAATATATCAATACAGAAGATAGTCTATTATAAATTTTTTTAATAGATGAGGTATTTCTATTTATAGCCCTTTTTTCCATAAAGTAAAGATGGTGACATCCCACATATGATATTGTTTAAAGACAATGGAAAAACATATCTACTGTTATCGTATATTTATTTTAATGCATAGCTTTCTCTTACAACTTTGAGGTCTCATTTCATTTTTCTTTTTTTTAATTATCACTTTGTTTGTAGACTATTTAAAGGTCTAAAACCTTAAAATCATCAAAAAAAAAAAAAACATAAGAAAGTCTAATAATATTAAATGAGTAACATAACTAAAAATAAGTAACGATATGCTAAAATGGGAAATGAAATGGATACATATTTAAGACGTTGGCTAATGCAATGAACTGATTAATTAACCGACACAATTAAAGCCATCAATAATTGATTTCATTTACATTGAAAATAAAGATGTTCATTAAATAGCGAACAGCTCAAACATTTATAACGTCTAAACGATAAATCAATAAAAAGACAAATTTTGGATCAAATAAATGAACAACACTTATTTTAAATTAAATTAAAACTAGATGATAGAATTATTAAGAAAAAAAAACAATTAAATACAAATTTTGCTTTTAAGATTCAAAAGTAGAATATATCATTTACAAATTATAATTAATTTCATAATAATTATTTTAATAACATATAAAACAATTGAAAAATAAAAGAAACGCAAGTAAAACGTGGACTAAAATGGAATGACTAACAATAAGAAGAAATAAAATGACTTCAAAATTTAGACAATAAAAATAGTATTTTGAGGTGTTCTCATATAGGACTTACAATTCCAAAACGATATCATGGGCATATATAAGCTTCAGGAATATTATAGAAACAATACAACTATAAATAAAAACTTATAACAAAATTAAACAATTATCACTACACAACCGGAATTAGCTCTTGGTATTCCCATGACTATTTTTAGTTTTTTACACTTCATACATGCATGATATAATTATAACACAATAAAAGTAACTTTATGCTTTGATTAAAACTCTTAGAATTTATTCAACCCGTAGAATTCAAAGATAAGCATTTAAAATTGGTAAATTCAAAGCATGGTTGAGATCATTTTTTAAAAATGAAACGCTAACATCATAAATTGTTAAAATCACAAGTCCATTTTTAAATAATATTATATATTTTCACACATAAAACTATTTTGGGTCCAAAACTTTTTTAATTAGACAATCCATATATCTACAACTTCCGGTTTTCCATTTCTATTAAAAAGTAGAAAGCTTTTAGCCCCTTAGCCATTTTTCACCCAATCTGAAATTTCGCAAGGGTACCCTGAGTCTGAAATACTTAGTTGCCAAAAAATTTATTTCTGCCAAAACTACAGAATACCAATTTTAACAAAGGGTTGTTTGGTTGGGAGTAAAATGGGTGTAAAATATTTCAAATGCTCGGGTTTTGAAAATATTTGTTTTTTTATTGGAAGAAAAAGGAATGCAAAGTAAATGTAGTGTAAACTATTTTAGTTCATTTTTTAGGTAAACCAAACTCGCCTAGTGAGCGAGAATAAGCAAGCTGTCGCCAGCCGCCGCCACCTCCGGTAGCTGCCACCCACCGCCGGCCTCCACCGTCGCCGCCGCCGCGGCCCGCCGCCAGCCACCACCGCCGACCACCATCTTGGGACTTTACACTACATTCATTCACTTCAAACCAAATAAAAAAAATTATTCACCAACATTTACTTTACACTCATCCAAATAACTCCCAAAGTATCTCTTTTATACTGCATTCCATTTTTAGCTAATCAAACAGCCCCTAAATATTTCAAAATATCAGGTATTACAAATAAAACCAGAGAGCATATCAGCACAGACACATATTAATACAGAAAAAATACAATTTAACAGGACATTCAACTAAAACAACCTAAAGTTAATAAGTGTCCCCATATAAGAACAATGTTAAAAGGAGAAATTTCTCTTACAGAAGGTTCCAGAAAAGCTGATAGGCCTGTCTCGCCATTAATCAAAGCCAAAACAAATGATATAATGGCAGCTGCAATCAATATTCTAACGAGCAAATCATCAAACTGCTTAAGAATTAATTTCCAAAAGGGGTTACCTGCAAGCAATATGAACTTTTAGAATTCAAAATTTCTGTAAAGAAATGAGATTGGGCAGATTTAAAGAAAACCATAAATACGGAGTAAGGATAGCAGCAAGTTCATGATTAATGATTTAAGAAGCAAAATCCTTGTATTGTCAAAGTTGAACCTCATAAAGAACTTAACTTCAGAGTTGTCTGATGAGCAAGCCTTTCCATTTAAGCAATTAAAGTTCGTGCCACAATACTTACTAGCTTTATAGACATGTGATTCAAAGAGAAAGAATAGGAAAGATTCCAAAAATCAATCATTACAAGAGAAGTTAATGCACACAGAGAAAGAAAAGTTCTAAGCTTGAATGGCATGTTTTAGAGAGTTGTATGGCAGAACATGACTAAAAATGAGGAAGAAACTACATCTACGTCAAAGAGGTTAGGCCTGGTAACCAATTAGGCAACTATACATCAGAAATTTACGGTTTCTGATGTAGACAAAGGGGGGGTCAACACATGTCCAAAATAAATCAATTTTGGCCTCCCTCGAGTTTACAAGCTCAATCAATTTGAGCTGAAATTTTAGCTCATTTTTGAGATATTTTTTTATCACAAAAAGAAAACACAAAATACCTCAAAAAGAAGAGATGACTATAGAGATATTTGAACAAACTCTTACATTTAAAATAAAAGTAAGAAGAAGAAATTAAAAGACTACAAACGACGATTTAACAAACTCGACTCTCAATTAAAAGACACCCTAAAGTTGCTACACTTGGAAAAAAGATACAGGTGGAGTGGCACTTGCGGAGAGACGAAGAGATTAGAAGTCAAGAAGAAGGGTGGAAAGAGCCCGCAGGATTTCCGGAGGGGATGAGAAAAAGAAGTGGACAAAGCTCGCAAGCTTTTCCAATAGCCCGCAGGTTACATTCCAAAAATCACATAACATTCAACTATTTCAAACAATACATAATCCCTCATATTTATAGGTATGAAAGGGGAATACAAAAAGACACAAACATTAATTTTTCACGAGAACCTAAACATCACAAGCATTAAAATCATAAATGCTTTTCATGGAAAAACAGCTCAAGCCCAAGAACCGAAGGAGCAGCCGCGGGAGCCAAGGAGGCCGCACGGAACCAAGGCGCCAAAGGCACGGGAAAACCCCCCTAGCTCGGAAAACCAACAGCCAAGGAGACAATGCACGGAAATCAGCCACCCGTGGAAGCCAAGGAGCCAAGGCATGGGAAAACAAAACAAATCTTGGAATTCCAAAAGCCGGTTTGGAATTCCAAGAGACAGACATAATTAAAACACAAAAAATAATAAAGATTACATTAATAAAAAGATAACTATGAACTAAAATGTTAGCTAATAATGAGCTAACCCTTAGTTCAATAAATGAACTAAAGACCAGCTCATAAATGAGCTAAAATTTCAGCTCAAATTGATTGAGCTTGTAAACTCGAGGAAGGCCAAAATTGATTTATTTTGAACATGGGTTGACCACCCCTTTGTCTACATCAGTTTCTTAACCTTCGGATAAAAAATTAATATAGGCAAACATTTAATGGTTTCAGTCAGTTGCCACTAAATCTAAAAAATTGAAAGCGTTGGCCATCTTCGCAATGGATTATGTGGTCCCTCTAACATATGATAAGCTAGCACCTTGAGTTCTGAAAAGTACAATCTATGACGCCCACTAACTAAAATTTTAAGATGCTTTTGGGGACTAATAAAGGCAAAAACAACAAAATATCAGTATAAAATGCAGGACAGTGCAAAACAACAGAAAGGAGAACCATATGAAACTTTACATTAAAATACTTTTAAGAGAATGAAACCAAAAATTACTAGGCCTCGTGCAAAAAAATAAACTTACTGAATTCATAACTATAGGACCTAAAAGTAACTTACTCGAGCAAACAGCACAGTCAATCAAACAAATTTTAAATAAGAAAGAAGAACTTCCGAACTGACTAAATATTATGATTCCTTCATAAACCCAACTCCTCTTTCACTCCCAATTGTACATGATAGTGTTAGACCGGTCCAACTACAACCGGTCCCTAGTGGACCAGTTTTTGTTTATTCCAGGAGGGGCGGCGGCAGAGAGAGAGAGAGAGGAGTGGGGTCCACTAAGAATTCAAATTCAAACTCCTTGAAGGGAAAGGAGGGGCGGCAAGGGCTATGTAGTAATTTTGGATTGATTAATTAATCATATGCTTTAAGTAGGATGAGGGAATTAGGGTTAGGGTTATGCTTTTTATTATTGTGTTCTTGTGGGAGTTTTCTTCTTGGTGTTTTGGGCCTTAGCTTCGTCTAAGGATTGGGAGAGAATGATCCTCCTCTCGATTAGAGAATCAATTGTATATTGTTGCTCTTTGTTCCGTTGATTTCTTCTATAAAATTATTGTTTTTGGTGTGATTCCCCGTCATATTTTGTGAGTTTATTCGCTGATCGTTGTGAACTATTTTTTCTAAAATTTTATCCGGAAGAAAGAATTTTTGCTGATTTTAGGGAGCAATATTCAGAAATTTAATTTTATGGCAGCCAAGAAAATAGAGGGGTTGGAGGAACTCTTGGAAGGGGAGATGAATCAAAAAAAGACAATGGTGGAGGGCATAATTTCCTCCATGGAATGGAAAGTAGCTGATTTACGGCATATGATAAACAAGAAGTTGGAAATCCACAACCAAACGGTGGCTTCATGGTCGAAAGGACCAAAAGAAAAAAATACGAATTTCAAAATTCGTAAGGACAAAGACAAGGTGGAGATCGTAGAGAGAGAAAGGAGAAGACCCCATATAGAGCCTTTCCAAAGGGAGGATAGAGGAGGTAGGTTTGGAGAAAGGCATGGGTATGGAGGGTAGGAGCAAAAGGGTGCTGATTGTGAATGTAGGGAAGGAAATTATGGCCGCCAAGTTGCTGATTTTGAAGGAAGGAGAGGGGAATTCGAAGGAGGTTATGGGTATGAAAGGGAAATGGAAGATCAGGAGACTTGGGGAGGGACAAGCACAAGGAAAAGGGGAAACTATGGAGGAATAAGGGGAAACGGGGGAGATCAGAATGAGAGGAAGCTGAAGATGCAAATTTTCGAGGGGGAGGATGCACATGGGTGGATCTATAAGGTGGAAAGGTACTTCGCCGTTAATGGGTTGACGGAGGAAGAGAAGTTAACAGCAGCCAACCTATGTTTGGAGGGGAAGGTGCTATCATAGTACCAATGAAGAGACCAGAGGAGACCCTTATGGAGCTAGAGAGAGTTCAAAGATTGTTTATTAGAATGTTTCCAAACTGACAGGGGATGAGACTTTTATGAGCAATTCTTTGCACTGGTGCAGGAAGGATCAATAATAGACTACCATGAGCGGTCTGAGCATCTGGCTAATCGGGTGGAGCATTTTCAGAGACGGCATTGGAGGGGAACTTCCTGAAGGGGCTCAAATCAGATATCAGAGCTGCAAAGAAGGTCACGAGGCCTCGTGACTAGGGAGAGGTCAGCTGGTGGAGAATCAGAGGGATCATGAGAAGGGAGCCAGGAGCAACAGTTCAGGAGGCTCCTATAAGACGAAGACAACTCTTTTAGCACCCAAGGGTCCGGCAGCAGGAGGGTTTCGTGAGACCATTAGGGATAAGCCAATAGGAGGAGGTAGTGGGGGAAATTTCAAGAGTCTGACGGCAAAGGAGGTGCAGGAGAAGAGGGCTAAGGGGTTATATTTTAGGTGCGATGAAAAGTATACTCCATGGCATAGGTGTAAGGACAGAACTCTTCAGGTTCTCATTGTCTATGATGACGAGGAAACTGAGGGAGGCGAGGGGGAGATAGTGGAAAAGATATAAGAGAAGCTACATCTGGACCTGGCTGAGGTTTCCCTGAACTCTGTGGTAGGATTCACTACGAATCATACCATGAAGGTAAAGGGAGAGATAGAGGGCAGGGAGGTGGTGGTACTGATTGACAGTGGGGCTACCCACAATTTTATATTCACTCAGGTCGTCGACCAACTGGGAGTGAAATTGGTGAACACCAGCTATTATGAGGTGATGATGGGTACGGGGAAGGTGGAGAAAGGCCAAGGGATTTGTAGAGTGATGTTGACCATATAAGGGATTCATGTGAGGGAGTATTTTCTCCCACTAGAGTTAGAAAGTACAGATGTTATCCTGGGGATGAAGTTGTTACAGACCTTGGGGGACACCAAGGTCAATTAGGGAGCACTCAAGATAGAGTTTTTGGTGGCTTGGAAGGAGGGTGGTGATCATGGAAGATGCGAGGCTCTCCAAAGCCTTGGTATCTCTCTAAACCATGGTAAGAAGTATACAAGAGGTGGGGAAAGGCTTTTTAGTGGAGCTGCAAAGACTGGAGGAAGTCATATTGGAGGAGGGACTAGATATGCCTCTCTCAGTACGCTCGTTGAATCAGCAATTCCATGAGGTTTTTCATCCACCTCAGGGATTGCCCCCACCACGAGAGCAAGAGCATGCTATCAGCTTTTAAGGGAAGGTGTATCACCCATCAACGTCAGACCTTACCGCTATCCTCAATTTCAGAAGGATAAGATTGAGAAGTTAATAAGAGAAATGTTGGAGGCGGGGATTATCAAGCCCAGTGTTAGTCTTTTTTCTAGTCCAGTATTACTAGTTAAGAAAAAGAATGGCAACTGGAGATTTTGTGTGAACTATAGGGCAAAAAATAAGGAGATTGCGTCAGACAAGTTTCATATACCAGTGATTGATGAGATATTAGATTAGTTGAGTGGGGCAGTGATCTTCACCAAGATAGATTTGAAGTTAGGATATCATCAGATCAGAATGAATAAGGAAGATGTGCACAATACTGCTATCAGAACTCATGAGGGGCATTATGAATTCCCGATGATGCTTTTTGGCCTCACTAACGCCCCAGTCGCATTCCAATCTCTCATGAACAAGATCTTCAAACCTTATCTCAGGCGATTTGTCTTAGTGTTCTTTGATGATATCCTAGTTTACAGCATGACAGAGGAGGCACATTGGGAACACTTGAGGAGGGTGCTAGAGGTGTCGCAAGAGCATCAGCTAAGGGACAACCTGAAGAAGTGTTGTTTTGCTCAGACCGGTGTGGAGTATTTGGGACATATTATGTCCAAAGAGGGGGTTGTAGCAGATCAGTCAAAAATTGAGGCTATGTTGAGATGGTCATTACCAAAGAATCTAAAGGAGCTGGGAGAATTCTTAGGACTGACAGGATACTATAGGAGGTTCGTGAAAGGGCACAGCATCATAGCATGGCCACTAACATAACAATTGAAGAATGATGGATTCCTATGAGGGGAGGCAGCTATAATAGCTTTTGAGAGTTTGAAGAAGGTTATGACTATTGTACAAATCTTAGCTCTACCATATTTCACTTAGGTATTCATAGTGGAGATAGATGCTCAAGGTTATGGATCAGGGGCAGTGCTCATGAAAAATCATCGACCTATTGTCTATTTCAGCCAAGTGTTGACAGCAAGAGCCAGGTTGAAATCAGTCTATGAGTGAAAGCTGATGGCCATCGTATTAGCCATCCAAAAGTGGCGGCCATACCAATTAGGTAGGCATTTCATTGTCAGAACGGACCAGCAAAGCCTGAAATACTTGTTGGAGCAGCGGATGGTGACAATGGAGCATTATAAGTGGCTATCCAAATTGCTGGGGTATGAGTTGTATGACTTTGAAATCCAATACAGGCTAGGAGCGAAGAACAAGGCGACAAACACCTTGCCCAGATGTATGGGAGAGTTGCAAGCGACGGCAGCATTAATCCCATTGATGTTAGATTGAGAGGCCATCAAGGAGGAGAGTGCCAAAGATGAAGAGTTGAAAAAAAATCATAGTTGATTTACTGAGGGAAGAGACTAGCTAGCCGGGGTATTCATTGGAGGGGGAGACACTGTTGTGCCAAGGGAGTTTTGTGATGCCTACGACATCAGTCCACATTCCACACTTACTACAGGAGTTTCATGGGAGCGTTGTAGGGAGTCATTCATGGATGCACAAGACATATAGGATACTAGCATCAGAGTTGTACTGGAAAGGGATGCATAAGAATGTGGAGGATATGGTAGCCAGATGTGAGGTCTGTCAGATGAACAAGTATTAAGTCATGTCTCCAGGAGGATTACAATAGCCATTGGCTTTACCAGGATGGGTATGGGAGGAGGTATCCATGGATTTCATAAATGGGCTACCCGTTCAGAAAGCTTCATGGTGATTCTAGTGGTGGTAGACTGATTGAGCAAGTATGCTCATTTCATTCCCCTGTGACATTCATACACCGCGGTGGCATCAACTTTTATTAGAGAGATGGTCAAACTACACGGAGTACTAGAGGCGATAGTATCCAACAGAGATAAATTGTTCCTCAGTTATTTCTGGAGAGAGTTGTTCAGATTACAAGGGACAGTATTGAAAAGGAGCACCGCCTACCACCCACAAATAGATGGCCAAACAAAAGTGGTTAATATGAACTTGAAAACGTACCTGAGATGCTTTTTGTCGAAGACACTCAAGCTATGGGTCAAATGGCTATCATGGGCTGAGTATTGGTACAACACCTCTTATCATTCTGCTTCTCAGATTACCCCATTCAAGGTGTTGTACGGATGATATTCACCTCACTTGGTGCATTATGGATGCAACGCTCCAATTTCGTTAGTAGAGTACTTGGGAGGAGCGAGACAAGGTGTTGGACGAGCTGAAGGGGCATCTTCTGAGAGATCAACAGATTATAAATAAATATGATAATGGGCATAGGAAGGACATACAATTCGAGGAAGGGGAAAGGGTGTTTTTGAAACTCCGACCTTACAGGCAAAAGACAGTCGCCAACCGGAGGATTGAGAAGCTTACCCCAAGGTACTTTGGGCCTTATGAGATATTGGAGAAGATTGAAGCGGTGGCATGTCGGTTGAAACTATCACCAACGATGACTATATATCATGTTTTCCATGTATCTCAATTGAGAAGGACCATTGGAGAATATACAAGTTCGGAGTTACCGGTGACACTCACTGAGGATTTAGATGTGATTTTTGAACCCTTGGAGTTGATGGGGTTCTCCAGAGAGAAGACGGAACTAAGTGAGTGTTGATCAAGTGGAAGAGTCTCTCGGATTACGATGTCACGTGGGAGCCAAACGAGATGGTGAAACATTAGTTTTCTAGTTTTCACCTTGAGTACAAGGTGATTCTTTGGGAGGGAGGTATTGTTAAACCGGTCCCTAGTGGACTGGTTTTTGTTTGTTCTAGGACGGGCAGCGGCAAAGAGAGAAAGAAAGGATCGGCGGTCGGATCGGCACGTATAGGAGGCGGATACATCCCACCTCTGTTTCCCGTAAGCCTGTCCCTACGGGACCGGCTGGACCGGTCTAATAGATTGATTTTAAAAATTAGGATGCATAGTATCAAAAATAAAATGCTTAATATAAAGACAAGGTTGAAACACGTTGTACTATACCATTTTGACATACAACTAAGAGGGATCAAAAGCAAACAAAATGTACTCATGGTTATCATAATAAATTTAACAGCCGTTTCATATCTGAAATATTACGGTTGAAGCAAAATTCACATGAAGTAATGCAAAATACTCATTAATAGCTCAAGAGAAAGCGAAGGCAATTTGAATTTGCATAAACTGAACATTTTTTGTCCATAACACATTCTTTATCATAGATAATTTTGAAGAAAGGTCAATGTTTCTAGCACATATATGAAATGTGATCACATTTAAGCAACTTATTAAGGAAAAATCATGGAGGATATTCATTGAAAAGATAAACAAAGAAAATAACATTATAGAATCACTTACTTTCTTCTTGAGGGAGCACTGTCAGAGAAAAATATGCAAAATAAAATAAGTTAGTCAGTGGAAAGCTCAAATGGAACAAAATAACATAACAAAAAAAAACTATCTAAAGAAGCTTAGAAAAAAAGGAACAACGGCAAGGGCACACGCCAATGAAAATATTCAAGTTTTTGCACGTTAGTAAAATCTGACTAATTAGTAGAGTTAAAGTTGCATAAAAACAAAGTATCAACATAAATATTACTGTAAAAAAGAACAAGTTATGTTCTAGCTACTCAAAAAGATTGTTCCAAAAGAGCATTAAAAAAAGGGAAACGAATTAAGGTATTGCGCCCTAAAATTGAAATCTCAAAGCTAGTAACAATGTTAGCAAGCCAATCAGATTATCAGCTAATGCAATTTCATAAATGATCTTGTAAAAATCTTGGCAAGGATATAAACTGAATCAACATTCTATAAGGCCACTAGAATCCTATTGTTATTTCAAGCATGAGGTGGCTGTTTTACTTTGCAAAATGCAAAATGCAAAATGCTAAAAAACATTCTAGAAACTTCTAGTAAAAAAGACAACTAATTATTACATTCAAAAAAACTGTATTTTTCAAGTGGAAGGTCAATCATCATCATCATCCTTCACCAATTACTCACACTTAGGTTTGGATTTATAGATTCTTCTTCACCATTCATTCAAATTAAGACCAACATCTAGAGATAATATTATTTTAAATGAAATCTTTTAACAAAGTCAGGCTTCTATAACTTTGGCCTAACCCTCTCAACTTTCATGCATGTTGAATTGTAAAATGTGCAATGTATTCTCAAACGCCTAATCATCTCAATCACAACCATCATTCTAAACTATTTTCTTAGGTTTAGATCCATAAATCTTATTCATCATTCATTAGTTAATATCCACCTTTGGATCTCCTTTTAAGAAATTAAAACAACTACAGTGAAGGCCAACCTGAGTTCAACTATATCAATTTATTGTCACCTGCTATTGATAGATTATAATTTGACATTCACATGACTAAAATAATTTGCACTGTCATTCTCATTTTTTACCATGCACCTCAACATTCTAACTTCTAGTACACTAAACTTGTTTGCCAGTGGACCAACCTTCAAAGTCATGCAATGAACCGCCATGTAATGTCATGCTAATTGCCCCCTTATGCCACCATGTTCACTTAAAAAATCATCAAAAAGCAAATGTTGAATTCAGAATTGTCAACAAATCACATCCAACCATAGTGAGAAAACTGAGTGAAAAAAACCAAGAGAGAAATAGAGAGAATAAAAATTCTAAAGTAAGAAATTCTAAATTTCTATAAATTAAACTTGATTATAGAAAATTGTGTAAACAATGCTCACCCCTCAACCCTCTATTTATAAATTTGGGTTGAGACTTGAGCATTATAGAATTAGCTACATACATGGCTATAACGAAAATCCAAAAAAAAAAAAAAAAAAACCAATCGAAATGTCAGACTTGATGAAGTCTTCTGCCAAGCTCTTAAGTAGTCGTTGAGTTAATATGTATTGATAATCAAATAGCCAAGTAGTAGATCAATAATTTGCATTTGGAATTTGTCCTTCTATGAGTAGTTGTTATAGTCGGCTGATAAGTCGTACTTATGTAACAGGTAAAAGTTTGTTGATCATAATCACCTGGTTGAAATGAGTTCTCTTATAAAGTAATTGGTCTCTTTTAAGCTAAATCCAACAGACTGAGCTACCTTAGCTTGAACTAAGATGAGTTAGCTTGAACTGGCTTGATTTGACTTAAGCATGATTTTCTAGAAATTTGAATGCACATTTAAATTCTCAATTATCTATATCTTTGAAAGTTTACCATAAAAAAATAAGATAATATAAAAATATTCTTCATTAATTAATCATAAAGCCAACATAAATATTTATTTTAATGTTAGATTTTAGTCAATCAACTTGATGTTGACTTCTAACATTGTCATTTTATCCATATCATCAATATTTAGCCTATAAATGTGAGATTATCATTTCCCATTCAAACACTTCTAAATCCATTCCTTGCCTTTCAGCTCTGCAATCACCTATCCCTATAAAATATGGAAATTCTAAAGGATTAAATCAACATTTCCAATGATTATATAATTTCAAGACTATTTGGCAAAAGAAATAAAGAGAAAACTTTTTCTGAGAAGAAGAAGAAGATAAAAATAATGGAAACAAAGTCAAAGAGCAATATCGAGAGCTTGTTGCCTCGTCAAAGCCTTTGGTCGATCAGCACTCGTTCTCTCCTGTTGATGTTGAAAAAGATATTGATCCACCAATGACTACTCTTCACTTAGCTAAAGTAAAATTGAGAAAGAAGGTAAATTTTGGAAGAAAAAAAAAGTAATATAATAATTTGTGTAAATTTGATTATACTAATAGACTTTAATGCAATTATTTTCTCTATGAGTGAACTTTAATGAAAATATTTTAGTCTTCAACTCCATGGATAAAATTTTATATTTGAACTTAGTGAGAAGTCTACTTCAAATTTTCTTGATGAAATTCTTTTTCTTCCGGCCTCTGCTTTCGCCAAGTTGGCAAAAAAGAATGATCCCAAGGCACCTTCCAACTTACTCACCGGGGTTCAAGAGACCATGAAAATTTTTTCTAGGCTGACCATTGATAAGGTGAAGACATTAACTTCAAATATGATAGAGTGCTCCCAGGATGTACATAGCGCCGCTTCAACCACTTCAAAACTCCCAAAAAGTTTTTTGAAGTGGTGCTCTCACAAAGGGTTGACGAATTGTCTGTTAAAGTTGTCAATGGCTACTATAAAGGACAAGTATGAACTAAAAAAGTCCAACTTTAACGAATAGTCGACAAAACGAATGTATCATTCACCAACTATACTGAGGTATTGTCCGCTAATCCTTCTCTTCAATTTGTCTTTGACTCTCTTCTTTTTTTCAAGGGGCCAACTAGAAGTCACTCTTTGTACTGGCTGGATGGCAACTGTAATTTCTATTGAATGAATGAAAGTTTCATTTCTTTTTTTAATGTATTGATGTTTGATGTGATTATATAGTTTTTTTAATTAACAAATATTAGAATAATCATTGTTATCATAACATAAGAAATTAAAATTCAAATTATAAATTTAAAAGTCGTGGGCTTAATGCAAATGTGCATGACTTCAATATCATCATGCTTTGAAGTTATAAATAGAGATGCACAGTTCAATTTAACTATTTACACTTCCTATTCCATTAAGTCTTTATAACTGCTCCTTCCATTCTCCTGTACAACTTTCTCTTGCTCTAACTTCCTCGTTTGAAATGTCTTCCTTCAAGAAAAGCAATGAAGCTTTCATTATTTATTCATCGTCTTCTCCACAAAGCTATCAAAGGCAAACTTAAATTTGATACAACTAAAATGCATTTTCTACAGTTCCTATCAAGTTCATGTAACAGATCAAGGTGAGTACTCAAACACTATAGTGTGGAACAAACTTTGCTACTACCAAGATCAGTTCACACTCAACCTTCGCTTCCTGCTATGTCAAAAGCTCATTGACATCATGAATTTCTTCGGAACCATACCCGCTTAAATCATGCCAAATAATTTAATGAGTATAATTACACTAGTCTCGTGGTCAATTCTACATTTTTGTCATCTCTTCTCTGTAAAGGCAATTAAAGACGGCTTCATTCTATTCTCCTCCAACTACATCAAGATAGTCACACTGGAGAATAAAATTAAGAATTGAATTATATATTATGTTTCATGAAGTTGGCCAAGAGGTGGCCAATTTCAACCAAGTTGCTTCCCTTCCTAGTATAGAGATCTCAGATTCCTTTCTTAGGCAAAGATAATCACGCCCACTTCACTGAGATGAATTCCTCGATTAGAAAGTGGAGAAATGCATCAATTATAATCTGTTGGAATTAATAATAGCTCCTAAGTTTCTACTTATTTACTTTGAATTTTCTGCATTACGCTGAGTTCTAGAGGACGAATACAGTATGATGAATTATGTAGTTGAGTTCCCTGAATATTTCCTTTATTTTCAATTTTTTTAATGTTGCAACATTAATCCCTCCTTTAGAACCCAAACAGGCCGGTTCCTTGGGCAGGCAACCAATAAAGGGGATGAGGACAAGAATGATCTCCCCTTCATAAGAAGAATTCAGCAACTAAAGTCTCCAATTAAATTCAGCAAAAATCAAAAAGAGATTCCGATGTTGAAATTATTAAATATGAATTGAGGATGAAGAGGAGGTTGACTCTATATCTAAAGAAGTTAATCATCATACCAAGGGGAGAAATCCTCCAAAGTATCCCGCTACCCGTTAGTCCAAGTCTCCAACACCAACAAGTTCTCTTCTTCTTAGCCGACATCAAGCACAAAACGACATTCAAATAAGGAGGAGATTGCAAAGGCAAGAGAAAAGGAACAAGTCCAATAAGTCCCTGAAGAAGCTCAGGGTAAAGAAAAAGAAATCAATGCACCACCTACACTAAAGAAACAAACATTTCCTACAAAAATATGTGGTGAGATGCCAATTTCTCCACCAACAACAAAGAAGGCATTGTTTTTTTAATAAAGAACTGTCATCAAGATTAATTATTATTTTGCTGACCCTGCAATACTAGAAAAATAGTATTCTTCAAAAGCTTATGATCTCAACACAAAAAGATGAATGATATTATGACCGGTCTATTTTACTAAGCGATAACAAAAGCGAATATGGTGACTCACTCAAAAAAATGCCTCCCAAAATGATGAAACAAAATGCGAAAATAAAATATTAAAGAGGAACTAGGAGGCCAGAAAAGAAGTGGCTGAGGCGGCGGCCGAGAAGCTGAAAGATAATATTTTTTTAGAAAGATAATACTCGGGTAATGAGGACTTCCAATGTAGAATAGAAAAGATGATATTTGGAAGTCCATAAATGAAATGCCAAGCTCAAATAACAAGGCAAGTTAGTGCAAGAAAATGAGATAAATTGCAAGATAGATGGCAAGTTCATCGAGACATTAACCCAAAAAGCCTAGTACAAAGAAATGTTGTCTTCAAAGATCATGGAAGTAGTGAATTTTTCTTGATAAACTAGTGGAAAAGAAAGTCCTCCCTCTTCTACATTAAGATAATGGACTTCAAAAACTTTGATGGCAGAACCAAGCTCCAACGAAGAAAAAATAGCGATAATAGTGATGAAATTGTGCCACCACTAACTAATTTGTACCTTTTTACTCTATTTTTTCTTTCTTCTATACAGTTTTGTACTTGTACATATTTTAAAGTAATGAGTTTTTTAAAATTTTTAAATCTTACTCATATGACTTCTTATCTCTGCTTGAATAAAATTTCTCTATAGATGAATATCAAATTCTAAATATGAAATATTAATTATAAATTTATTTTATTTAAAAGAATGAATATTGATTATAAGTTCAAAAAAGATATTTGAGTGTCAAATACAAATATAACTTCATGATATTGATGGATATTGAATATTGAATATCGTTAATACAAATACAAAAATCAAATACCAAATATCGTTATTGAAAAGATGAATATTGAATATCACCATTGAAAAGAAGAATATTGAATATCGTCGTTGAAAAGACGACCTGAAGGTCTTATCATGAGCATATGCCGGATTATTGTTTCGACGTGAAATCTCAGTTTTCCGTCGACACCATGCATGATGTAACGGTTACTAGTGATGCTTATGATTGTGCCTAATTTTCAACACAATATGTTGTTTCATGCAAGATGGATCTCATGCATTTCGATGGAAAGTTTCTATGCACAAATGAAGCACCCATGTGCCAAATCCCTTTGATTTGTTGGTCACATGATTGTGAAAGATAATCGAATGTGTCAAGTTGCACATCATAATTGAACTTTCAAGCATTATCGAAAAAATTTCCTTTTGGGCATAAAAATGTATTTTCATCATGGTATTGCCTTCTTCTTCTTTAATTTATTTTTCCTCCAAGCATTTAACCACTTCATGCATGCTGCACCATTCTAGAGCCCGTAACTTTACTTAAAGTTACACAAAACCAATTCTAAATGTTAAGCCAGTCTAATGCCCCATATCATGAAATATAATAATAATGTTCCTATTCCTGATGCTATTCCTGCCTCCTTTTGTGCACAACGTGATTCATGCATAACCATGAAATTAAAGGCTAATCATTTAACAACTTCAACGCAAAGAAACAAAAATTCCTTTGTCGGAAATAAACTTTAGACTTAATTTATTTGTCTTGCCATGTTCCGTGTTTGAAAATTTAGGAAAATTAATTACAAAATACATTTCCCACACTCCACTCAAAATATTTTAATAAATAGTATGATGCTTGACATATATTGGTAAAAGCAATCAACCCAAAAGAGAAATCTTCTACTAAGCTCAAGAGCCAAGTTTTGAATGGGTGCCTAAAAGCATTAGAAGCAATAAAGTATGCGGGCCTATTATATCTATGAACCGGAAATACAGCACGGCTGTGGATCAAAACGTAAAGAATAAAAATTATAATGCATACCATTCTTGCCATATATTCTCGAATTCTCCGCAACCTGTATAAATGAAGAGATATGAAGTGAGGGTGAAACAAACAAAGACCAAAAATGAACCACTAGCGCAACATCACCAGAACATGAGAGAAAACAATCAATACCTGAAGATCAGTGAGACCCTTGGTTGGATCCACGCCGAAAGCATCTAACACCTAAAAAGGCGGCCACGTATACACTGATCAGGTCCATGATAGACAAAACCATACTTTCGAGTCCAAATAACAGCGGGGAGAGGAAGAGAGAGAGAGGACAATGTACCTCAATAACAGATCTAGCATATGCGTTCTCCATGACGGATTGTAGGAGGGAGATGGGACGGATACTCAATAAGCAGAAAGGGATTTCAAACCGTGAAGCTCAATGCCGGTAAATGCTAGGGTTTTTCGTGATAGAGAGACTGTACCACTGGCGCGTGAGGAATCGGGGATTCGGCGGGTAGGCAGCAGGAGTCGGTTTAGCCCTAAACGGTAAAATTTTACAATATTAGTAAGATATTAGTTATTACTTCTAATTTAATGTTAATTACATTTATTTTTGTAATAATCAATATTCTACACATAAATTTTATATATCTTAAAAATATATACATCTTTCTTTTGTTAAATATTATAATATATATAACCTTCAGTTTATTTATAAAATTACACTAATATATTAGTATTAATTCGTTTATGAAGAGCTAAATAAATAAGAGATAAGTGCACTTCTTAAAAATACAAAAATTTTATATATAAAGTTAATTATCTATAAAAATAAATAAATATAATTAACCATATAATTTATATTTTACATGAAATTTATATTTATTTTAAGGATTTATTTAATAGGACATATTGTATAAATTCGTGATGATATTAAAGTTTTTTATCTTAACATTAAAAATCTCACTCGACCACTCTTATAAATAAATATAAATTGAGAGCAATGCAGATGATATTAGATTTTGTACATGAAAAATAATCAAAGGATAAAGTAATAGGCATTAACCTAGTTGAAATCACTTGTGTGAGTTGTAGCTACATAAAATGCACTTCAACATAATTATTAAAGCATTATATAATGTAGTAGAAAGAAAATTGGAATATGACTTCTATGGTGGATCTAGGAGGAGCATTTGAGGTGTTGGAGATATCATTGAATCACCATTAATGATATGTTCAATTGCTTTTATTATAATAAAAGGGGAGATCGATAACAAAGACAATGTGCATTAAACTCGGTAGAGACAATGAGCATCGTTGTTGTTGTTGAGAGTGGGTGTCAGCTTTGGTGTTGGCAGCAAGTGTTGGCCTTGTTGACAATGGTGGGCATCAACATTGGTTTCTATGGCAAACATTGACCTTGTTGGCAAAGGCAAATGTTGGGCATTGATACCACTGACGAGTGTTGATGTTGTTACCAGCATGGTTGTCAACATTAATCAACCTTGATAGCAACAACGGGGGCCTTTTTGGTGATTAAGTGCATTAGCATTAGTGTCGAAATGTATGTCAAACTTATTAATAATAATAAGCATCGGTGTTTGTACATTGTCTAACATTGTGTTGATGTCGAGTGTTTGTGTTGTGTCAAAGTTGTGCTTTGGTGTCAATATCAGACATTGGTGTTGATATCAACATTATGTGTTGGCATTAGTGTAACCTTACATTGCTACTATTAGAGTGGTGGGAAATGACTTTGATGTTGACATCAGCTATATATGATAGTCTTAACATCAAACATTGGTATTATTGATGATGATGGACATCAGCATTAATGTCAACAGTGGGCATTAGCCTTAACGACAATTATAGGCATCAACAATAATGTTGATCATGGATGTTAATCTTATTGGCAACAATGGCCCACAACCTTCTTGGCAAAGACAGACATCAATATTAATGACAATGTCGGATGATGACTTCATTCGCATCGATATTAATGCTAATGAAGAGTGTTAGCATTATTATCAACAATGAGTGTCAATGTTGGCATTAACCATGCTGACAATGACAACCATTGACAATGATGTCAATGGCAAGTTTTAATGTTGGGTGTTGAAAAGAAAAGCTCAAAATTCTCTCATATTTAATCCCCCCGGGTCTCATCGCAACCTCTTAAAATATGTAAATGTTGAATCTTAATAGATTTAAGGAGAGGGCATTATGAACATTTCTACTATAAATCATAATTAGACATATGACAATTCGATTTTGTATTGACCCTCTTGATCATATGCCATTTTTAGGCATCTTGCTTCTTGACAATATTTTAAGTAAATTATCATGGGTTTATCGTATTTCTCTCATCGAGATGCCACTTTAACTATAAGCACATGTGACTTGGAGATTATTTGGTCCCTCAAATGATGTTATGAGATTTCCAACTATAATCATAAGTGTTTGATTTTGGTCTATATACAATCACAAAAAGGCAGCTTGTCTAAAATTATAAAAAAAAAAATGCGGGTTTCTAGATAAAAAAATGTGATAATTGCCATTTTAAGTTGTTTATTATATATTTGTATTATTAAATTAGAAATTATAATAAATTGAAAAAATTTGTATTATTAGATTGTTTATGAAAAAAAATAGGACTTTACCAAGATAGAAACAAGGAAATGTATCTCTAGGAGGATTTTATAATTAATGTGAGATACTTAATCTCTAATATAGGTAGCAATTTATTCATAGGTCTGAAGATTGTTAATTTCTAAAATTGTATAAAGTTGTCATGTTCATTTGAATACAAATTTCTTCATATTAAGTATTTTAATGATCTTCAATATTATAGAAAAGTCTAATGCATTAAACATTTTATTCTTATGTTAGTTTATATTGTGTGAATCTTATGATCTATAAGACATATTAAAATATTCATATATTATTTCAGACTTTGTCACAGATAAATATGAGTTGATAATAACATGTGCATAAAATATTATAAATAATTTAAATATCTATGATATTAATGCTAAAGTCCAAAAAAAAATCAATGAATGATCATGTGATGTTGAATAAATTGACAAATAATGGATACCTACGCTGGAAGATGTAAAGGTTCTAATGAAATGAGCCTCAAAAGAGGGACTAAAAGGAGTTCTCGACCCTTGATACTAGAAAGTTTAGACGGTGTGGTCTAACTTTTATTGAGAGTCCTTTGATAGTTGCTATATTGAAATAAGTTCAAATTTTACAAATGTTATTATGTTCGATAAATTAAATGATGGCCATGTAAAGATGTGAAATCTATGTAAACATTATGTGATATTTCAACACAATGATCAATAAGAATGAGAAGAAATTTGAAAGTAAAATAAGGAATGTAATACCAACATCTAACTATTCTAGTGCATTTAAATGATCAGACACTTAACATGTGTAGTTTAATTTATAATAAATATTTATGCCTGCTGCTTATGATTGAGTGTTTTGCTTAATTAATGAAGTATATTCTAAATTAAAGCATATTGCATTGAACTAATTATTTTTTGCGAGTTTTGGGCATATAGTTTTGAATCAATCATAGAAGAAATATGTTTAATTTTGCTCTCATATTCTATTTGCCCAGATTTTGGGAAAAAAAGCAGCAACTTTTTTGAGAATGCTATACTTTGTCTTAGATTTTTCTCGTCCACATAGAAAACTTTTTTATTTTTTTATTTTTTATTCTTTTTTTTTATTTAATAATCCCTTTTAAAATTTTGAGACAAAGAAATAACACAAAAGTAAGATAAACCGGAAACAAAAATCTAAGGCACTTATTTACAAGTGTTGCTTGAGGTGGGTCAATTAATTTGGTTTTGATAAATAATCTATTAAAATTGTTCATAATTTCTTTATTGATTGAGAAAGAAATAATGCAATATTAATATAATTCAATTTGGTGTTGATTGATATAATTCAATTATTTTTTAAACTAATAATGCAATATTATAAAAAAATATAAAATAGGTTGAGAAGCTTGTAAGCATTGCTCAATTCATGAATTATAATGAAATATATAATTTTATCTTGAATTATGTCTGATATAGATTTTTTTAATAAATAATTATTTATATATTGAGTTGCCCACCATCTAAACATGGTTGGTTCCGCCCTTGGGGATGTGACGCATCACTTGTCATAGCCAACAACGTTGATGTACATCATTGCTTATAAGAATAGTCCACATCGTCAATACAAATACCTATGCCTGTCAAATTCTTTGCCCACCATGGCCAAAAACTTTGACTTTTGTCATTGTCGATTAGGTTGAGGTTCATTATTGTTGACATAAACACAAACACCTGCATACTATGCTACGTATGTGTAATAATTGCTTCTACATTAATGAGAATACATGTAGTAATCTAGATAAGACATGGTAAGAATTTTAATATTTAATTAGCATTTAAGACAATTATTATGCATTTCTGAATTTTTCCCTTTAGGGCATTGAGTGTAATAACCAAAAAATGAAAATTATTTTAAAATATGAATTTAAAATTTCTAATTGAACTGGAGTGGTTCGACATTGTACTTGTAAGCGCTACCATGCTAGGTTTGAGAGCACAACAATGCAAAAAATTATGCTGTGATGTTTGATTCTTATTCTATAGTAATTCTAGATTGGACTTGCAGGGTTGCAACGTTGGGTCTGAGTGCTGCAACGCTAGGCAACTAATAGTGTTTTTATATATATTAAATTATGAATAATGGTGTCATTCCCTCACCTCACCGTCACTCTCGTTACCTTGCTCGGAAAGGAACTGAAGGAGAATGAAGAGGATAAGGGGGAAAATAAGAGAGAGAAAGTCCGTTGGGATATTTTTTGTTCGTCGTTTGTTTTAGTGGAATTGTTCTATTCATAGCAAGTAACTATCCTCTTACTTCTATTTTCTATGATTTTAATTTCTATTAATTTATCTCTCATAAATCTACAAAAAAAAAGAGTATTATCTTATGATTTCATAAGCTTTTACCTTGTAATTTTTATATGTTATAAATCAGATCATTATGAGGAATATGATATAATTTCATTGCATTTTCACATTTTAAATTTGTGTATATGAATGTTTATGTGAAAGGAGCAAGAAAAGGTATACTGAAAATGGGTTGAAAAAAATAGTATACTGTGATTTGATATGATAATATTAAAATATGATTTGGGCTAAAATAAATGAAATGTGATTAATGTGTATTGAAAAGATGTGTTATGCTTATATTAATTTGATGGAAAATGATGTATCGATTGATACCGGATATATAATATAATAACCCACATGGTACTCTCAAGATTCATGTGGTTCACTGATAGAAGTCAGTGAATGTTCATAAGGAGCTGGATACTAATTACAAATTATAAGAAGTCAGGGTAGATGTCATGTGATTCAAAGGGAGTTATACATAGTTTATTGATTGGAAGTAAAAAGGGGCAACTGATCGAGAGTAATAAAGGGAGGAGTAAGATCAATATTAAGATACTCTTATCTGAATATTT